CCACTAAGAGTCATTAGCTCTTCTTTGCCTCATTTGCCTCATCTGAAAACTATCCATCGTATCATCATTTATCTCCTGTTGTTGACTTGGTCACTGAATGAATAATTTAGGTACAGATCTTAGCAGACAGCCTTCAGTAAATACCAGGCCTAATCATTGCTCATGTTATAAACCTATTTGATCTTGCATGTTATAGAAAATCCCAAACAGCACCAAGCGTACAGAGCTTACTCTCTTACTTCAAAGAAGTCCAGGGGCGGACAGTTCAGAATAGGAAGGAAGAGTCACAAAGGTTTTAGAGGCAGACTAATCTTTCTGCCCAACCCCTTGTAGAACATAAACTCCACCTTCAAGGTAATATAATTGTTCAGGATGGCCGCCAAAGCAGGTAGACAGCAGAGAGGGAGAGAAGGAAAACAGAAAACACACGACTCCCAGTTTTGAAGACTTTCTTGGAATTCTACTTACCTGTTTTGGAGACAAAGTTGTTAGGTATCCCCAACTGGTCTTGAACTACAGACCCTCTTGCCCTAGCCTTTATAATGCTGGGATTACAGGCATGCATCACCATGCCTGCTTGGAATCTCATTTAACCCTTCCATTAGTATCTTCTTTGGTCAACATCACAGATCTTACTGTACTTAGCAGCAAGTCAGGCTAGGAAGTGTAGGATTTTTTTGTTTGTTTGTTTGTTGAGGCAAGGCAATGTCTCTTGGAACTCACTATGTAGACCAGGTTGGTCTTGAACTCACAGAATTCCACCTGCCTCTGACTCCTGAATGCTAAGATGAAAGGTGTGTGCCATCACTCCCACCTGCCATGAGGAAAGGTAATACTTGAGCTGGTTCTATTGGAGAACACAGAAGGTGAGTACAAAGCCCACAACAGCCCAGCACAAAAGGTCTCGTTTGGCTTACACTTGTGATCCTAGAATTCAGGAGGTAGAGGAAGGAGGATCAGAAGCCCCTGGCCATCCATGGCTACATGGCACGTTGGAGTTTAGCCCGGGAGACATAAAACTCTATCTCAAAACCAAACAAACAAGTCTAATGTACACAACCACATACATAACTTGGAAGTTGTCAGGTACCATATAAATTTCCCATAGAAGTATATGAAGATCAGAGCCATGTATTTAAGAATCTGGCCAGATTCAAGAGTGTCCAAGCTGGAAAAGGTCTTCAAAGGGGCATTGATTTAATTTTTCACATTTTACTGATAAGGCACTGAGGTCTGCAGAGGGGAATAACTTAGGACTGTTGATAAATTCTTACTACTTTACTAAGTATTCATTATTTATAGGGTACTGCTAAGAATTATTACATCATAAACTTTTTAGTAGATCAAGCCTGAGTTGTTAGTGCTGAAGTTTATGTAAGCATCATCTGGCTCAAATTGCTGAATTCACTAATGAGGTACCTGGAGGTGTATTTCATTTTACTTACTGCTGACTCATAGCTTACAGACAACTGCAGTGTTTGGGATAGGGAATTGGAAAATAACAGGACATCAGCCTTAAATATCCTTTTCCTTTTCCAGAACAGTATTGATCAATTGTTGCCTAAATATATGTCCTCTTCTTTCTTGATTAATTGGTTTTATGTGAACAAATAGCCACAAGTTAATTGGAATCTAGGAAGGTGAGTAGTGAGCAGACATCTGTCATGTGTAGACAGACGATATGGGTAGAATGCAATTGGAGACAGAATATCACAGTGTTCAAAAAAGAAGCAACAGACACGTAATCATCATCTATGCCAGTGTCTCTCAACCTTCCTAATGTGGCGACCCTTTAATTCAGTTCCTCATGTTGTGATGACCCCCGACCATTAAACTGTTTTTGTTGCTACTTCATAATTGTAATTTTGCTACTGTTATGAGTTGTAAGTGATTTTTTTTTTTTTTGGAGGCTTGCCAAAGGGATGTTGACCCACAGGTTGAGAACCACTTCTCTAAAGCAAGATGTGAAGATTGAGGATTATGGAAGTAGATGATGTGGTTCTGTCTTTCATTAGAGATTTTTAAAAAATATTTATTTATTTACTCTGATGTATGTCAGTGTTCTTTTTTCGTGCCCACCAGAGGGGGAATCAGATCACATTACAGATGGTCACGAGCCACCATGCGGTTGCTAGGAATTGAACTCAGGAGCTCTAGGAAGAGCAGTCAGTGCTCTTAACCACTGGACCATCTCTGCAGCCCCTCACCGGAGACTTTAAAAAAAAAGTCTTTCTTATAATCCAGCTAGATTATTATGAACTTAGTTACTATATTCTGATAAAATAATTAATAAAAGCAACATACTGAAAGGATTTATTTCAACTCATAGTTTGAGGGAACAGTCTTCATGGTGGGCAACACTCGGGTGGGGGGCACGAGGTAGGACGGCAGCTGTGTCCTCCGTCAGCCGAGAGTGGCAGGTGCTTGCACTAAGCTGGCACTAAGCTGGCACTCTCCTTTTCATTCAGACGGGGGCCAGTGTGTGGAACAATGCCACCCAAATCGAGGTGGGTCTTTCCACCTAGGAATTAACACAATTCCTTAGCAGGTATGTCCAGAGCTGGTGAGAGTTTTGTGATTTTGGTTTCTTTAAAAAAAAAAAAAAAAAAAAAAAGAATGTTTTCATTTTAATCCCAGGTGTGGGCATGGGGTGCTGCTTCTCAGCAGCTGACTATGACTTGCCTTATCCTCTGGCAGGGGTGTGGTTTTGCCAGCTGCAGATGGTTTATTTGAGTATGTGACATTCGGAATTCTGGGGACTTTTCAGAGGATGTATAAATGTTAGAGCCGCATAGGTGTGTGGCTTGTTGTTGGTTGGATGTTGTTGGTTGTGGTCTAATCCCATAATCATTTGCAAAGAAACAAGATGGAGAAATTAAATGTTCTGAAAGAGAAGCTCAAACTTGCCCCAGGGTCTCCACACCCATAATCAGCAGGAAGTAGTATAATAATAATGAGCTCTCTTTCCCCATCATCCCCCCCCTTTTTTTTTTCTCTCCTACCTACTGTTGGGGGTGGGGAGTTGAAATGGATGGAGAAAGGTGGAAGAGAAAAAGGAACCCACAAAGTAGCAAACACTGGCTGCTCCCAGGGTTTCATCTCACATGGTTCTAGATCTTGTCAGGTTGATCCTTAGTATGAACCACTACACACAGCTGCACATTTGTCTATAGGCTGGGGTGCTCAAAGCACTCAATTTCAAGCTTTACAGTTTGCACACATTGTGCTTGATTTAATGCTGATATTCAAAAGAAAAGAAAAAATGCGATAGACAACCTCAATGTGTCTTCAGTTACAACGGGGCAAGTTCCTCTCAGACTGCGATTTCCCAATTCTTACTAACTACATATATGTTTGTGTCAGGTATCCATTAATCCCCAGCAAAGACAAATGGAATTACCTTCATGGCTCAGACTCATTCCAGTTCACCTCACAGGTCTGAAGGAGGACCCCTTTTCTTGGAGATCGATGATAGTTCTTCAACAATGTGAAGTTTTGTAAAGGAAAAACCAGGAGGGGAAACACAGTGTCTGCCACATGACAGAGTAGCATCTTGGAGCAATGTGCTCTCCAAAAAATATTGGGTGGTGTGCACTCAAAATAAAACCCATTTATTTTTCAGTCAGGATGATAGTTAAAGCAAGTGAGCTTTAGACAGTTGTAGATTTGAGTCTCGGCGACAGCTCATACTATCATCTGGTCTTCTGTTTCTTATCTGTAAGAAAGAAATTATAGTGGTACTCTTCCCCCCCCCCCCCTTTAGGAAGCACTGTTTGATTATTAAGTATTTGAATCAGCATTAAGTACACAGTAAGCCCTCAACAAATGCCAGTTTCTGGGATTTGGGAACCGCGGGTGCTGTGAATTTAAGTTCTGTTTATCTTCATTTAAGCTAGAGTCGTGTATTCTCTAAGCCTGTATCAGGTGCTTTCTAAGTGTAAGGGACAGAGTCTGGCAGAGCTGGTTCTCCATGGGCGGTGTCTTGGTTTTAGCTCAGGATGTACAGGCAGAATTTCTCTGGTTCTTCTTTCTAATTTTCAGGCGGCCTCAGAGAGTGAGTCCTGTTTAATCAGCTTACTCAGGCCCAGAATCCATTTATTTGATCTGAAATTGGATGTTTGCCTCTCAGGCCCGGACCAAAACAACAATGCAATTTACCTTATCTGCTTTACATTTCTGGCTTCCAGAGAGCAGACTTGGCAAGAGCCTCTTCCCTCAGGACACCAGGACTCGCAGCCCAGTGAGCATTCTCTCCCAGAAAACCGAGCTGATCTGGAAATTTTGGAAACTGTTAAAAGACTAAAAAGACTAACAAAATCTCGCTGCTATTCACTTCATGACATTGATGAGTGTGCACACTGGCGAGGACTCCAGATTCAGAGTCGTGGATGATCTTGACAGGAAGTCAGCTGGTTCCAAGAGAAAGAGTTTTGCAGAGCGGATCTGCTCAGGGTCCTTTATACCCACGATTGCCTCGACAAGCCTTGGCATGCTCATTTGTCCAGACGTGACAGTGAGAGTCTCCCTGAGAGTTCTATGAGTGAGAAGCAGCCCCGGGTGAGGGTCTCGTGTCTTGGAAACAATAGCCCAAGAAGCAGATGCTTCCCGTTCAATCTCAAATGATAACCGGCAGATGCCTGGCTTCCCAGTGTGGGAGAAAAAGGGATGCTTGCCTTTCTCCACAAAGAAACTGTACAACTGACTGTGTTGCACACTCAGTTAGTTCTTCTCCTAGAAGGGGATTTTACTGACCTGGAGAAAGACCACTAACTTGATAAACTTGAATTTGGGGCGATCACCTTGGAAACCAGGAAAACTCTGGAAGTGTTTTTTTCTTTGTTTAGTATATATGGTTTATTCCTTCTCTCTCTCTCTCTCTCTCCCGCTCTCTGTTTTCTATTTTGCTGTTGGAATGATCTTCCTCTGCTTTATCAATACTTGTTAAAATTTAGCTATTATATTTCTGTCCTTTTGGGAATCATTCAAAAATACTTAAAATGCCCACTTAGTTGTATTTTTTTTCCCCTTTAGTTATCTGGCACTTCCACCATTTTCCTGAACAAGAAATCATCGTGGGAAGTGAGTTTATCTTCTCTTTGCCAGTGCTGCAGTCTTTCTTGCCTGTGAATTTTCTTTGTGTGTTTTGGATGTCCTACCCAGCCTGTTCTCAACCCTCCCCAACAAACATCACTCTTTTTGTGGCTTCAGTCCCTTGGCCTCCTCCATTCATTAAGCCTCTTCTTCTATCCTTCCTAGAGTCCAGATCAGGCTCTCAGTCTACCAAGGCTGACCAGAGAACACCAACCTTCCGGCAGGATCCCATTAGCCCCGTGAAGGAATGAAGACATTGGATTGTGGAGACGTCCGGTTGTTCATAGGTAAACTACTGTGAAACGGGTAATCATTACTGTCAACTCAAGTGGACCAAGAAGCACTGGAAGGGCTCAGTGGGCATTTCCAGAGGGGAGGGACTAAGCGGTAAACATCTGTGACTATGGACAGCCCCTTTGAAAGATGGGGGAAGGCCACAGTGTAGACCCAACATCTTCCTTTCTCTTCCTTGGCTGCAGGGATGCTGAGTACCATGCACAACTACTGTGGTGATTTGGAAGCGCCAAGGCTGTGATCCCGAATCAATCTTCCTCCTGGGGTTTATGCCAGATATACGTCACAGGGATGAGAAATGAACAACAACAGCAACAATAAAACAATTATAAATATTTTTAAAAGCTAGATGTGGTAGTGCACACAATTAATCCAAGTACTTGGGGGGCCAGGAGAAGAGTGACACTGTGGCTAAAAATTTGCTCCGTCTGGGATATGTAATAAGATCCAGGTCATCCTGGGCTCCATAGTGAGTTTTAGGCGAGCCTGACTACATTGGGAGACTCTCTAAATTAAAAAAAAAATCATTTAGAGAAATTAATTAGTTCAAATGAAATCTGAGCTTTTAATGTTGACCATAGATTCTGTGAGATCCCAAGAGAAAATGTGACCATCCCTGTCACCCATGCGCTACCAGACTTGGGCCTGTCACCTGACATCTTTATTGGTGAATTCTATGGCGCTCATGGCCTGGTTGCCAGAAGCCTGGCACTTACCTTTCAGTAGCCACCCCTGCTTCCGGCTGAAACACCTTCTTGAAGAAGACGAGCATGAAAACTGAAAACTACAGTTAAAAGCTGAAATTTTCTTCTGTTTGTTTCTCATAACTGGCAAGCATCCTGCACCTGGGACACTGTCCACGTAACATGGGAACAAAGCATGTGAACATTGGTGCCTCATTTTCTCTTCTTTTCCTTTTTTTTTTTCATTTGACATTGGCAACATACTTAGCCTCTTTGAGCCTTACTTTCCTCATTTATAGCGTGTCATGAACAATGTCTCCCTTGTGTAGCACTGTTGTGTGGCTAAAAAAAGATAATGCACGTAAGAGCAGAGGGTGGCTCAGTAGGGATGGATGCTGACTGGCCACACACACTTTTCTGATCCCCTCATTGGCTTGTTGTGAAACCTAGTCTGAACTGATCATACTCTTCGTGAACCCCACTTAGTGTGGAAACTCTTCAGTTTCCCTGGACAAGCATTTCGTATTAGGCTGTGGTCACCAACCTCAAATGTCTGTTTTCTTTGTACGATCTGAACTCCAAAGCCCATTTGAGTCCACAGATGTTGTATGGAGAATCAAGCATCTTTAAAGAGCATAATATGTCAACATGTAGAATTGATACTATCGGAATTGGACTCATTAACACATGACCAGCCATGGCTTTTGACCCAAATTACAGCAGGAGGTGTGAAACTCCCTCCCGTAGCGTACACCTCAAAACAATTAGTTACTCCGTAACAGTCATGCTACTCCGGTACTAGTAGGCACATCGTGCTGGACATTTTACTATTGTAGTATGAAGGGTCCAGCATTGGCTATGACCAGAAGCCCACATAGCACCTTCTGGGACTATGGAAGCTAGCCAGAAGAGGAGACGTTTTCTGGTTAGTTTAAAATTGATTTCTCTGTGTCCTGCAGCTAAAATGTGTGATGCCTTCAACAATAAGGACTTGCCATGCAGTTATGGTGTGTAATCAAGGGCAAAATGCAGTAGCCTATGTTGTTCTTGAGATTTCTAGGGCCTCTTTGACCCTACACTCATAGGAATGTATCCCATTACTCGCACTGTGATTTTTTTTTTTTTTTTATTTAATAACTCGAATCTTCTGGCAGAAGCACTGTCAACCTATGGAGGATAATTCTCTTTGCATTACTTATTTCTTAACAAACAGCGTCCATCTCGGTATGGCCTCTTTCCTGGTACAGAAAAAGGAGCATCGGCAACATGTTCAAAGGTGAGAACAGAAGTGAAATTGTTCAGTGAGAGCAGCAGGGTCAGAACACAGACAGATTCCACGGGGGAACTTAATCACCAACAGTGTAAACAATTGTATTGGTAACACGCTACCTCCGCAGTAGGCAGCCACAGGCAAAGCTAAGAGCAGTCTGTGGGATTAGGAAGATGCTGAGCGTAGGCTATGAGGCATCACGGGTGAACTGGCCCCGCCGGAGCAGCACTGGACACAGTGTAACACAGAGTGAGAAGGCAGTTTCCTTTCCTGCAGAGTTGTTTTCCACTTAAGGTCTGGGATGGTACTTCCAGCCAAGGTGACCTGGCAGTGTGGGTTGTGTGGAGAATGAGCCATGATTCTCTGGCAGTTGGGAGGGATGTAAAGACCACTCAGTGGGAAGGTATCTTGAGACAGGGAGAGCCCTGGCAGGAGAAGTCCGCATCTACTTGGGTGAGAATTGGCTGTTTGGCCTTCACTGCTGTGAGGTGACTTTCTTCTAGTCTCTGTCTACCCAGCTTCGTTTTACCTAAAATTCTCCTGTAGGCTTGTTATCGAGGTCTGTCTCACGGATTTGTCTGTCTTCACTCAAAGGCTCGTCCTTATTTAAGGCTTGGCTCTGTTCTCAGGCTTATTTTATCTGTCATTTTAAAAAGCTTTATGATGATGATGATGATGCCAAGTGTGTATGTACGTGTGTGTGTGTGTGTGTGTGTGTGTGTGTGTGTGTGCATGAGCACTTCTGTGGAGATCAGAGGACAATTTTGTGGGTTGGTCTCTTCTTCCACATTTGTGTGTGTTCTGAGGATTAAACTCAGGTCACTAAGCTTCCATGGCAAGTGCCTTTACCAGCTGAGCTCTCATGTTTTAGATTCCAGGAACAGCCGGTGCTGATAATCATGTCTCACCAGTGTTGAGTAGCACACACCAAACCTTCCTGAATACCAAATGTGCCTCACCCCAAACCTTCCAACGTCCCTTTAAGGTAGTGCAACTGTCTCCGTTTACAGGGGAAGAACTGGGAATTTTAGAAATGGCTCAAGGGCACAGGCTTGTAGACACTGGGCAAGATGTTCATCCAGGCGGATCGGACAGGGCCTGTGCCACCTTCTAAACAGAACTTTTACCATGTTCAAAGAAAGCTTTGTGCCCACCCAGTAGGGATCTCAACGTGACTGCACATAAAGTGGTGTCCTCAAAAAACTAGATGGGAGAGAGGGGGGAGGGGCATGATTAGAAGTCAGATGAAGTTAGAACAAGATACAGGAAGAGAAGAGGAGGAATAGTGGAGTATAATTAGGAAGCTGCAGAGAGGAGAGTTGGAAAATTAGACGGTCCTGAAGAGCCCCATGGAGGAGAGGTGGTTAGACCTTGGAAAGCCCAGGGGGGCTGAGTTCAAGAAAATGACCAGGCATTCCAGGAAGGGAGGGGGCTGAAAGGTATACATGCTGATGCGGGTGTTGGGCTTGGGTAAACATGAGTAGGTCAGGTCAACTCTCCAGCATTAGGTGGTACATTGTTTCAGGGGGTGTTCTGGGCACTCATGTGCCAGTGGATCGCATGGTGAGACCGCTGGAAACCAGCTAGGAGAATGTTGCAAACTCCAGGGCACAGAGATGACAGAGATACTCAGGATCACAGGCTTCTCCCCCCGACCCTGCACCCCTTCCCCCAGGGTTGACTGAATGAAGGCTGTGCTGACCAAATGTCACAGAGCCTGTGGTGTGACTGTGCAGTGTGGATGGAGCTATATGGCTTCCAGTTATGGGCAGTGTCTGAATTGGCCACAGACAATTTTTGTTTGGGGTTTTGTGCATAGGAAATTTGCTGCTAATTAATTTACTTACATTCCTTTTCCCAATCTAATTAATTTTAAGGGCTTTAAACAAATACCGCCTCCCTTGATCCCACAGTGGTACAAGCCCATTTTTGTAAGAGGACAGCTTTTAATTGAAGTGGTTACTTATGATCTCTGAAGGAAACCTTTCGATGTGTGCACACAAACCTGCCACTTACCCACATCACACAACCTGGTCTTTCGAAGCTCTCTGCTTTTAACTCAAGAACACGGGGGCCAAGGGCTGGCATTCCATATTCTTCTGGGGAACCACAATTCCCTTTGACAATCTGCTTTTAATTTTAGGTGTCTGCACATTTCCCAGAGTTCATTATTGGCCCAGATTACAATCCTGAAGGATTGACAAATAGAGATGGAGCAGAAATCATTTCCTCAAAGAGAAACAAGGTGTGACCTTACTCCACAACAACAAAAATCAAATGGAGAAGTGGCAACTCTCTAAAGAGAATCACGGAATATTTTAGGACTCCCTCTACCTATTCTTTAAAATGCAGTGCTTCTCTCTGTCTGCTGAGTCATCTGGGCAGCCTGGCCTTTGCAAGCAGGTCCTTCCCCCATCTGCATCCCTCGTCTCTTGAGGAACAATGTCTGGAATCTGGCACTTCCGGGGGTGCTTGGTACCATCCACAATGTGTGTTTAGTACCTGGAAAGGGCAAGAACATTCTGGAGGTGGGGGAGTGTGTGGTAATTTCACAGACCCTGGTCGATGCCGACAGACCTCAGAAAGCCTGCTCCCTGGCAGCTGGCTGAGCAGGAACGAATCCCGACATCTAGCGAACTCCTCAGCGTCAGGGCTTTTGGCCAAAATAGCTTTAAGTTTTCTGGTGGCTGCACATTTGCTTCTGCTTCTGAATAGCTTCAAACCCTGCCATCAATCTCTCCCCTCCTTTTCTTCCTACTTACTTGCCTCCTCTGATGCCACTCACATGACAAAGGGGCCCGTGGGAAGGGATATATGGTTGAAGTTAGCAGAGGGATGATCAAAGGACAGCAGCATTGTGGAGCCTTAGAAATGATTTAATCAGCACCCTCCTGGTTCTGCCGGAAAGGGGTTTCCTCCAGGCTCTCAGCTAGCCGACAGGACAGCAGGAAGGTCTGGCCTTTTCCTCCCACTTCTCCCTGGTGCTTCACAAGGTTGTTAGAAGATGGATGATGCAATTTCTAAGAAATGCTCTGTAAATTGCAACACATAAGCATCTATTATCTGTGTGAATGTGTATATATGGGTCTGCATCATAACTAGAAGGCTCTGGCTGGATGGTTAATGTGGAGTAGGTTAAACCTCTGGCTGTAAAGCTTTCGACTCACCTCTCTGACCCTGACTCTGCTATCAGCAGATACTTGGCAGGTTTGGGAGCTGAGAGCCTTCATCTATTAAGTGGGAGTGTCAGTTTTGTTTCCTTGACAGGCTTCTGTGGCTCAGATCCTGGCACAGAGGCGATTTTCACAGTAAATATCGTGGAAATAAATGAAGGAAAGAGAGCCCACTTCTTCA